AGAAGAGGAGATCTTGTTTCTGACCCACCCCCTGTCAACCCAAAAGACCTGGGTTGAGGTGTGACCGGTGCAGGCAGGTCTCCCATCAGAAACCCAGGTAAAAACTGAGCCCCAGGCTTGGGGGAGGTTGGAGAGCCGAGTGTCATTGGTTCAATGCCTGTTATTATACATCAAAAAGGTCAATTCAGTGTTAATAATTCTTGCTAATTACTGTCTAAAACCATATACGGGCAATCAGGAGCATATACAAATAAATGCACTTTCAGTGGTTTGTCACTTTATTTTAAATATATAAAAATACCCGCATACACTGATATTGTATAACGTTAGTTGTTCTAAATCTGATCAAACGCATGGCTTTCTGCTGTATTGTAAGTTACCGGTCACATGAGCACAGCCACAATCACGCACGTCTCAACAAACTCAACCTACATATCAATATACAAACACAGGACTGCTGTAAACACGAACACTTACTCTGGATGTCCATACTGGGTCACTAACACGGCAGCCACGGAAAGAAGATTAGTCCTGCTTTACCAAATAAACGGGAGCGCAAATGTTTTTGAACAAGGCGGAAGTTGCGCGTGCTCTTATGGCACAAGCGCGCTCCACTTCCGCTTTCACGACACCAGCGGCAGCGCGCGCTTCTGTCGCGCCTCTGCAGGAAAGAACGTGAAACTGATTTTTAGTTTTGGAACCATAGTCTTACTCATAGTTTTACTTTCTGTCACCTCGGTTATTGTAATGCCTTTTTTTGCTGGTTTAAGTAAGAAGTGTATGGATAAACTACAAGAGGTGTGAAATGCTGCAACTGGATTGTTTTAGGTTCAGGAGAAGACATGTTCACACTGTCTGCCCATTAAGTAACGTTACATGATTAATTTAAGGTCCTTTTTTAGTGTTTTTCAAGCTCTGAATGACAGAACACCGCCATACATTTCAGAATACTGCCAGATACGTTCTAAATTGGTGTTTCACATTTTTAAAAGCAACCTTGCAGGCATGTTTTATGTTGTAAACAAAGACCTTTGAAATGGTATTGCTGTATTCTAGGGATGCCCAAACTCGGTCCTGGAGGGCCGGTGTCCTGCAGAGTTTAGCTCCAACCCTAATCAAACACACCTGAAGCAGCTAATCAAGCTCTTACTAGGCATAGAAACTTCCCGGCAGGTGTTGAGGCAAGCTGGAGCTCAACTCTGCAGGACACCGGCCCTCCAGGACCGAGTTTGGGCAGCCCTGCTGTGTTCATTTTTCTGGTTAACTGTTCTTACACTAACTCATCTGAAGATGGCACTCCTGTTCCACAGGGTGGGTTTTTTTTCCTCTCCAGGACCTCCCAGATTAAAGGGACACTAAAAATCCTCCTCCTCTTGCTGGAGCATTCATCTCCAAAATTAAGAAAACATTACGTTTATCTTTTTATACCATTATTTATCCTGTGTTAATATGCATTTTAAGGGATAGTCATGCATGCATATTATTTACAATATTTTGACATAAATTCTTGATAGAATGAAAGTTTATGTTAACGAATTAATGTTGTGCTACTTTAATCAAAGTTTCTGACATAAGAGTCATTTTTAGCTCCAACCCTAATCAAACACACCTGAAGCAGCTAATCAAGCTCTTACTAGGCATAGAAACTTCCCGGCAGGTGTTGAGGCAAGCTGGAGCTCAACTCTGCAGGACACCGGCCCTCCAGGACCGAGTTTGGGCAGCCCTGCTGTGTTCATTTTTCTGGTTAACTGTTCTTACACTAACTCATCTGAAGATGGCACTCCTGTTCCACAGGGTGGTTTTTTTTTCCTCTCCAGGACCTCCCAGATTAAAGGGACACTAAAAATCCTCCTCCTCTTGCTGGAGCATTCATCTCCAAAATTAAGAAAACATTACGTTTATCTTTTTATACCATTATTTATCCTGTGTTAATATGCATTTTAAGGGATAGTCATGCATGCATATTATTTACAATATTTTGACATAAATTCTTGATAGAATGAAAGTTTATGTTAACGAATTAATGTTGTGCTACTTTAATCAAAGTTTCTGACATAAGAGTCATTTTGTATGAAAATTTTATCCTCATTAAGGGTTAAAAATGATCATGAAAATCAATTCTGGTAGTCAGTTAATTTCTCACTTTCCTTAGATGAATCACAAAATCAATTTAATTTAATATGCCTTAGATCTTTTTTATATATATAATAATCATTATCCTGTTTTTCACTTAAGATGGAGAACTACTGGATTATGATCGGTGCATGATTGGACTATATCCTGCCCAAGGAAGAGTGTGTGGTACAAAATAAAAAAGTAATGCTAAGTATTCATTAGTGCTCAGTGATTTATATCAACAATAACAATGTCTCTCAGAACAAAGTGACAGAGGGAGCAAGAGTTTTCTGTAAAATGACTGAGCTCATATCCCCTGGAGCAAAACTGAATATATGATGCCAGTCATCCGCATCCAAATAAAGAGAGACATGCCAGCTCTGTCTAAACCCATTAAGCAAATTGCCATATTTGAAAGATGCATTTGTCTCTTTATTTTGATTTATTGAAACAAATTGACACCCAGGGGGCTCCTTTTTTCATAAATCCCAAGATGTTGGGTGGTGTTTTAGAATAGCATTATATTTGCAGAATTAAACATGCATTTTCTGAAACCCATTTAAAGGTTAACTCGTGTAATAAAGCATTTATATTGCTTACAGCGCTGTGGAACTTCATTTTGCTCAAATCATTTATTTCACATCTGTTCAGTGACATTCATTCATTTTCACAAGATATATCATCTTCAGTAGTTCTGAATTGTGTGCCACATTGAATTCTACCCTGGGAAAGAGTCTGTTATCAAGGAGCGAGATAAAGCTGAGATGTAGATGAAGCTGTCTGATAATAGGCATGCAAACAGCTTGCTCCCTGTGACTTGTACCAGCCTGCGCCAGCCTTGCCTTTATTACTCTGCTATATTCCCTCTCATGCTCTTGGACTGTCACACCATAATGAGCAATTTTTGACCTCGGTAAACTGTGAAACTGGCTGTTTACTGTTTAAAAGAGTGAAGAGGTTCATTACAATACTCAAAATGACTAATAAAATGATGGTCATGCTTGTGGAATATGATGCAGATGAGCTGCTTTAGCTGGCTAAAAATATCAGCAAATACAGACAATATTCGCTGTATTGTTAAAGACAAGGCAAACAGCTTTCAGTATAAATTACTGTTTTTACTGTGAGACTTTTAGTGATCTGTTCATTTGAGACTTTTGCAATATTGACCACAGTGTCTTCCTCATACCGGTCTAAGTCATAGCCCAGCGATTGCAAATGCCAGGTTTTACTTCTGACAATGAAACTGATAGAGAATAGATGTCAAGGTCAGCTTGCTGATCCCCATACAGTCAGCAAAGTGAAATATAGCACCAAATGTGCTGAAGAGTTTATGGAAACGCTGCTGATGGGGAGATATTTGATAGGCTACTCTGCGAGGATTTTCGGTTGCCATGTGCAAACTATTGAAAAAGTGAATGTGCTTTTGTGTGATAAATTGTTATATTTTCCAAAGCAAGAAACATGTAGTCTCCCTCTGCATATCATTTTTTGTTTTAAATGTATCATGACAGTAAAACACGTTTAACTTGGCATTAGTGTCTGTTAAACCCAGCTTTTGAGTGCCGAGGTATATAGTAATGGTGACGCTCACTTTTTCAGTGGCCTTGGTTCTGGAATGATTTTTCTCATTTATATTTCTGATACAAATATTAAAAAAGTCCTTGTTCAAGAGTTATGAACCATGAACCAAAACCGACCAGCTACAAGGTCATTACAAATTTGATTTGAAAATCTGGCAAAAAGATAACAGGCTCGTTTCAAATGCACCTTTGCCTTGCCCGAAATTTAGATGAGCAAGCGGCTGCAAAGAGAGGACAGTGAAATAAGTGCAGTCAAGATGCAGTTCTCACTTCTCATAGTAGATCAGTATACAAGATCAAATGTGGATATCATGCGATTCAAATTCATGTGCTTTGTTGCTAATAAGCTGGATTTAAGTTCTGCTGCTTTTATATAAAAATGAATATGATGAAAAAGAGACCCAAAGTATGCCCACTTATAGTTTAATATGGACATGTATTTTAGATTTTTAAAGAAATACAACTATCATGTCCATAGAGAGATCACACATCTAGTAAAAAAAAATGTACTAAAATGTATTTTAAATACATTTATTTTGTGCTAAGTATACTTCCAAACTTACGTATTTATGTACTTAATAAAAATGCCCTGCAATTGTATTTTTGGTATACTAAACTGGTATACTTAAAGTCTGCTAAATTGGAACAACTAATTTTGTTTAATGCACTTTAATTGTTTCTTAAGTATTGCTGAGAACCAACTAAAGATACAGTTAATTTTTATTTGATTCTGCTAAAGTGTAACTATCCACCTTTTTCCTAAGTAACTGATGAATGCCGCCATGATGGATTCTAACTTCCGTTTGGATGCTCTCATGTTCCGGTCTCCATAGAAATCCATGTTAAAACAGGGTAAACTTTTTCAGTATAACTAAATATAAAAATGTGCGCAGGATTAAGCTGTGCTATTGGCGGCTGTCACAGTAATAGCAAACTTAAGAAATTTTGCGTACCAGCAAATCTGTCCATGTCTGGCGCTGTATGCCTTGCATAAACGATGACAAAAGAAAACGAGCATGGCTTGCAGCGCTTAAGTTAAAATACTGTGTGTGAAAAACAAAATAAAAATCCCCCGAATTTCACCCCGATAGGGAGCTGTATATATGAGCTCATGTGTTTTCAATGCAGCTGACCTCCAGCAGCTTCATGTCATAGGCCAGGGATCCTCAAATCTGGCCCACGAGATCCACTTTCCTGCAGAGTTTAGCTTTTACCCTAATCAAACACACCTGAGCATGCTAATCAATGTCTTCAGGATCATTAGAAAATCACAGGTAGGTGAGTTTGATCAGGGTTGGGGCTAAACTTTGCAGCGCACTGGCCCTCCAGGGCAAGATTTGAGGAACCCTGTCATAGGCCTACCCACTCATTAAACTATGACAGGTGAGTTACTGCAAAAAGACAGTCATTGCGACACTGTAAAGTGATGAAACTATGGCACCATGTGCTTTTTAAAACGATTTTCATGGGTTTAACTTTATATTATCAGCTGGGAAAATACATTCATTTGACTAGAAACACCAGAGACCGGAAATGTAAAGCATCGTACCAGTATGAGTCGGGCGAGACTTCCACGTTCAGGAAAAAGGTGAATTGCAAGTATACTTCAAGTACACTTTAAATATCTTGCATTAAAATACTGATAGTACAGAGATCATACAATATTTGTTAATAATGATATTAATGACATCAGACATCAGCATGACATCAGAACAAATTGGACGACACTTGGACAGATTTCTAACTGCCATCCATTTCACAGTGATCACCGGTGGTCAGTTCTGTGCAGAATTTGCTTTAATTAGGGAAAGAACCACAATCCCATGATAATTGCAAATTGCAAATAGCAAGCTTCTTTGAAAGCTAGGGAGACTGATTCGATTATTTCATTCTCAATGTTTAATGGGCGTGAAGCGGTTAAAAAAGCAACAAAAAATTTTTTTTTAACTGTAGCTCTTGCTTTTTAGAATGCCATGTCATGCACGAGAGCTGCAAAGGATGCAGGTGCAATGGCCAAACACTGCTGTGTCTAGCACGTTTACATAGAAAAACTAAGTAAAAGCAGTGCAGTTAAATACAAAAGTGCATTCTGTGTGAATGGCCCTTAAAATGGCTAGTTTATTTTAGCAACCAAAAAATAAAAACTGAACAGCCCTTTCCAGATCATATGCTTTGAACAGTCACAGAAAATTTCATGCGTTTTTCGTTTCAGCGAAGCAAAAAAATCTAAATCTGACAGTGACGGAAAATGTGTCAGTTGGAGTGAAGAGGAGACAATTTTATTCTTACAGTTATGTTCGAAAACTATATCAAGGACAGTCTCAGGAATATACTGTATAGCCTAAACACAAATTATGAGCAAGAGCAAGGCAGGAACAGGTTGCGCGCTCTGTTCGTCCAATCAATCTCTTAACCTGTTAACCTGAAAAGATTAAAAAAATATAACCCAGGATTATGTTGACCCAGAGTTTCAAATGACCCAGGGTTAATCATTTAAAGGGATAGTTCACCCACAAATAAAAATCCTGATAGAAAAATAAATAAATAAATAAATAAAAACATTAAATAAATAAAATATCTTCTTTTATGTTTCCCAGAATAAAGTATTAGATTAGAAACAGCATAAGGGTGAGTAGCCTAAATGACAGAATTATAATTTTGGGGTAAATGGGTAAACAATCCCTTTAATTGTCAAAAGCCCTTGAGTAGGTATTAACTCTCAGTAAGGAAAAGCAAACTCTTCTTCCTTTTCCCCAGGAAAGACAATTGCTCACAGTTTAGTGCCGCACAACATTTCATTATGCTGGACCCAGCTGCTGTGATAGTGCTTTGTAATTAGGTTGTTGTAGGAGGCTCGTGATGAAGGGACACCCAGGGTCGTCCTTCTGTGTGAAGCATTTAAACATGTATTATTCAGCAGCCTGGCACAGAACATTTCCAGGACCCTGACAGAGCTGAACTGCACAGCTTTACCTTTCACAAACCCCTCATTTACTGCAGGAAAAAATGCATTTATCATTGAGAGGAGACAAATATTGATTGCTCCTCAATACATGGTAGGTTAAATATACAGAAGTTGTTCTACATTCTGCACAGTCAATAATAGCTTGCGTCTGATGCAGTAAGGATATAATGACTGTTTGCATTTCTTATGTGAAGTCTGAAACTGTGCATTGGACTTGTGGTGGAGATATGAAAAAAATACTTCACAGTTATTTCCACTGACAAGCTTTTTCAATTCATTGAAATTAAGCATTTAAGAGGGAGCTGGGATTTTAGCTGCAAGGTTATTATAAAATTTCTTTGAACAAAAAAAATTATAGTTTCTAATGTCATATGTGTTTAAAAACAGCCAGACTAAATAAATAATAAATATGATTTTCACCTGGTGGACGATGCAATCTCCGAGACCACTTTTTTTGGCAATTACCACATCTAGCTTTACAAAAAAAGATGTTAATTAAAATGTGCTATTAGTGTACCTCTTTAAATTAAAAATAAGTATACTTTCAATCTACTTTTTATACACAAAATTCTTAGGTATACTTGGTCTCCAATTTAAAAAAAATTATATACAAATATTAAATTATATATAAGATGGAAGCCTGTTTCCGCCACAGAATAAAACAATAAAACGGTCACTGTGGATTTTCATCTCAGAACTATAAATTTATATCTCTTGATTTTGAGATTATATCTTGGAATTTTGAGTTAAAGCGAAAGTAAAAAAATAAAATAAAAAAAGCCATAATTGTGAAATATCTTTTTATTGTGTGGGGAGGAAAGCTATTTTTCTTTTTTTATATATTGTTGCAGAAACAAGCTTCTGTATGATGTTAAGATCACTTAAAGAAAACTTATTGAAAAATTATGAAACAAGAATATTGAAAGTATGCTTACTTTCATAAACTAAAATTACAGAACTAGTAAACTAACAGTATATCTAAAGTTTGCTTGTAGTATACTGTAGTTGCAATACTAAAGAAACACTTAGATGCAAACTAAGTATATACTTACGGATGTAAATTTGTTTGTAGTGATAGACTTAATCAAATCAAACGGAACACACTAACAGGCGCATAGTAACACAATAAAAACAAATATGAAGGCAGTTTCAGCAGTAGACCAGACATTTTTGATTGTCTTTGGGTCTGGTGTTTGTGTAGGAGAACAGAAGTATTATGTCACCCTAGAGGTGCTTTCTCCTGCTTAGTACACTTAACACCTACCTTCCTGGACCCCAGACAGAAGGGTCCATCTGGTTCAAGTGTAGTAATCATCTTTCATCAATTTGCCACCGTTTCTCAAAAACAACCTAAATAGTCAAATATTACATGGTAATTGTGGGGATTTAATTCTACACTTTAATGCACTGATGAGCTTGAGGAGTCAAGAGGCTCCACTCAAGAGAAACAGAATCAGTGAAGCTTCTTTCTCAAATGTTCCAGATTATGAAGAAGGGCAGACAGGCCCTAGAGATGAGTGTACTTCACCAAAGAAGGTCAATGCTATGACATTTCATACAAGGGTAATCTTTGAAATGGCAGTTCTTGATTTCGGATGTAACATCAGGCATTTGAGAAAGAGGTACATGGGAGGCATATTGATTCCATATTGCTTCATTGTGGTTTGATTCAGATCAATGCATTAAAATAAAATCTAGCATATCATTATTTCCATGTGATAATCTCAAACACTAAAAAAATGCAAGGTACTTGCATGAAGAACCTGTCTAGGGGCTTGACTGTCATGCCTCATTGAGTGGAAAATATGTGATAGACCCTAGTTTGTTAATATAATTAAGCCTGAGCTGTTACAGCACAGCTCATATATGCTCCATTTTCATTAGTTTAGCGAATATGAATGTGTTTTATTAAAAACTAAATCTAAATCTAATATAATAATATTAGATTATTGTTTTTCCTCTGACCTGATGACATATGATGCCGCTGTTATTGTCTTATCCTTAGCATACTATGTTCCAGAACATTCCACCAGAGTGGAATCAATATGCAGCTCTGTACATATTCTGAATTCTGACAGGTAATTTCATACATCATAAACATTGTCTGCAGACACTGGCTCAGTTATGATTTTAATATCAATAGCTCAGATGGGTCACTGTCTCTGGATTTGTTTATTTGTTCTGGTAGATTATGCAATATGTATTGTCACATCCCATCGGAATATCCTGTATCCTGATGGCTTCCTCTGATATGAAATTCAAAATTAATTTCCCTTCTCACAAATTCCATTCTTTTAAAGGCAATGCTGGAAACACAGAGGCCAGAGAGCTACAGTTGGTGTTGCATAACTGATGGCTACTTTTAAAATATGATCTTACATAAATTAAAACGAAATGTTAAAATCTAACCTTAAAGGAAAAGTTCACCCAAAAATGAAAAGTAATCATTTACTCACCTTCATGATATTCCAAACCTGTGTTGTTTTGTTTTAAAAGCATGCTTATGGGAAATGTAATTCCATCTTTTAGACAGACCCAAATAATGTAAAAAATATTTGTGCTGAGGTTTTAACTGCCCTAAATGTAAATGTTCTTGGATATAAATTAAAAGAAACTACTGTTTTGGTTTATTCATGATACACAGTCTTCCTTTCATTTTGAAATATTGCTACATTCATACACTGGATTTAGGCTGACTACAAAAGAATAACTCAAGTTACTTGACATCAAAATGTTTCCTGACTTACTGACTCGTCACAACAGAGCAAAATAGAAGATGTGACTTTAGTACAACACCATATTCCCTTAGGAGGTAAACACCTTTCTAATCTTGGATTTACCATCTATGCACAGTCAGAGGTGCAATAATGAGACCTCCTCCTGTAATATGTCTGTTAACGAGAGTAGAATTCGCATGATGGGTAAGTGGGCTGATTTTCGGACTGGCTCCTGTGGTGACCACTCTAGTGATGGGAATACAGATACCCAGCGATGTTACACTGCCAAGATAAGTAGTGGTCTGATGTCTGTCATAATAACTTTATGTAATACAAAGCAGTTTGAATCTCTTACTGGCTAACCGCCGGTTGGCATGCAAAGAATTCATCAATTTGACAAGTTTGTCATACCTCACTTAGGCATTGAGGGCAACAGTGCTTTGTTGTTGTTTTTTGTTGAGTTTTTTTACCCCCTTTGACCATTCGCTCACCCTCTTGTCGTTCAAACCTGTATAGTTTCTTCTACAGATCACAGAAGATGATTTTTGGCAGGATGTTCATGCAGCTCTTTTCAATACAACGAAAGTGAATGGTGACCAGTGACTGTCAAGCCTCCTAAAAATTAAAAAAAGCTTTATCTGACTGTCTTCTGAAGTGATACACGATTTGTGAGAGGAAACTTAAGTACACTGTGGTTCTTATATCACATTAGTGCATTTTGAAACATACATATTAAAATTTGGTGCATCACGATCAATATAAAACATGTCGTTTGGCATAAGTGACATTAAACCTGACATCTTAAGGATTTGAGAGCTGCAGCAGAGGAGCTTTTTAAATTTCCTTTCATGAAACATTTCACAACACAAGCATCACCCTCAAACACTCAAATACCAAAGACCAAAAAGACTCCATGAAACGTTTCTTAATGTGCACCAGTGGAGACTCCTGCAGCAGTTTAAAATCATAGATCCAAATCCCCATGTGCACTGAGCTCACATTATACCACAGACTCCAACAAATCAGACAATGTGACCCCATTACATTCCCCCACCTTCATTCTCCATGAAAGACAAAACTGACACACATGAAGCCATAAAGGGCCAGTAGCTCCTGCACTAGAATAGAATAATATAAAATTCAGCATCTAAACCCTGACTGAATGAACCACGCTGTACAATAGCAGATATAGAGATTTGTCCACTGGCATTTGGATTATTGCAGAAAATAAGCTTAGTGACCAACAAAAGTTTGGTCACTACGATTCTTACATGTTTTGTTCATCATGATAATCTTAACAAATTTTAAAGCCTAAATGCAATCAGCAGAAGTAAAAATCTAAACAAAGCTTATAAATGAACTACAGCACATTGCACCACCATTCTGCCTCTGACAACTCTTTCAGTCTTTATTTAATATCCATATTCCCTGAAAGTTTGAGTTTGCAAGTGTGAAACAGTTGAAAGTGTGAAGTAGTGAGTTGGCAGGTTTACCTATTTGGTGTGATGTCCCAGACAACCTCCGTAGTTTTACTGATGTACTTTATGTTGTAGAATAAACCGTGAAAATATCTTGAGCTTGCGTTAACCACACACCTTGTTTCAGGCATTTAACCAAAAATCCATTCAAAAATCCAATCCATTCAGAACAATGGAACCCGGAAGTGCTAAAATGCTAACTAGTTTCCAGGTTTTGGACTACAACAATCCCTGCAGCCCTGCAGCACTCTCCAATGAGAAAACTGTAAATTTCTCTAAGATATGGGACTTTTTTTGTATTCGAGTTTCATGGCAACATTTAGCTTTAGGTGCTAGAGGCTGTCAGATGTTTATTTAACCTCCAGTCAACCAAAATTAGAGGAGCAAGTACAGATACAATCATTCATTCATGCCCATCCTTAGCCATTCCATGCAATCAGTGGTTCAGCTGACCCATTGTTTCATCTGTAGATTGAAGCTAATATTAGTTTAAGCACTAAAAGGCAGGCTGTAGGGTTTCAATCCAGAGAGTCTTCCATAGCTTTCATGCAGATTAATTTGAAAGTGACACCAGAGAAACAGTAGGAGTGCAGCTACAGTACGTGGCAAACACCTTTCAGAAGCAGGCTATTTTGTTGTTGTTTGTAAGTTTGAAAATGTTTTGTCAACTGAGATCTTCAGGATCGTCAGCAAAAACATAGTTCTGGCTGTGTGTGAATTTAATTGCTTTTTATCTTTGTAGCGGTGTGTTAGTGTTTTCTCAGTTGCTGGCAGACTGGATATCACGGCATCCAAGAACGGATTAATTATGGAACTTAAGACTGAAATATGCTCTCTGACATCTCCATCTGCAGTGAGTCTTTGCAACAACTTTTGCATAATGTCCTTTTTTTTCTTACAAAGTTTACAGGCTCATTCCTGGACACTGCCAAAACATCATGATCCCAGCTGCTCTGCCACTTCATACAGAGATTCAAAAGATTCTGAAAAAACAACATCACGATCTTCAGTAAAGAAAAAAAAAGTTCAGGCTGTGTGTGAGTTTCATCTTTGCACTGGTATGTTTGGATTTCTCTAAAGGTGAAGATACACAGGGCAATGTTGCTTGGGCAATTTCTCATTGAGAATGGTCTAGATCGGTCGTAGGCCCTCTGTCTCACCTGTTTGCCTGTTAACGGCAAAATTGCCCAGCAATAATGCTCAAAAAGTTGCCCCATTTATCATCACCTTTATTAGTCTTTTCTCGGTTGCTGGCAGACCGGAAATTACAGCATCCACATACCGATTAATTATGAAACTCAAGACTGTAATGTCATGTCTGTCATCTCCATCTGTAAAACTTATTTTGTAAGTTTATATTATTTTCCTTGCTCTTGGAATGTTTACTATTTTTGTTTCATATTATGTGTTAATATAATAAAATCATTGTTTCATAATAATATTTTGCATATGTTCATGGAATATTTATCTTCATGTGTAAAAGATATGAGGGAATGTCTCTGTGTCAAGGTTTTATGGGATAATATTGTGAAGCAGTTTGATAACAGACGGAGATCAACTGAGCAATGAAACATATAAAATCATATACTAAGATTATTCAATAAACCCTGCACATTTTCATCATAAAATTTTCTCCTGCTTTCTACTCTTCACTGTTTTTCTTTGTCAACATCTTGGGCTGATAGTAATACAATTTTGAGTATCAGACAATATTCAGTTCAATTCTCAATTCTAGTTTATTTAGATAGCTTTTTACAATAAAGATTGTTTCAAAGCAGCATTACAGAAAATGTATGTTTCAATGATAGATAGTCATTTGGCCCTAAATGACATTAAATACTTACATTAAATCATATGCTGTCACTTAATCTCTTTAAGACTATGTCATGGAAAAAAACTCCAATGGTGTTGAAGTGTTCAAGAACCAGACTCATCTGCGGTCCATCCTATTCTAGCTACAAAATGTCTCAAAACAATAACATATAGCTTGACTGAATTTGGGTATCAGACAAGACTTGTTGTTAACTGGTTTTGGGTATCAGACAAACAGAGCTAAATCTTTTGACAGAATCTAGTACAGAGGCTGGAATCAGTGCATTATTATTAACATTATTATTAAACATATTTAAACATTAATTATTTGGATGCCCTTCAACATTTATTCATTGGTAAACATACATTATCAGTCCCCCGTGTTTTACATTGTGCTCATTTGACATCAAACTTTAACATTCACTAATAATTGTACTGTCATTTCTGTCATATATTTGGAAAGTTATTTAAGCTTAATGTGTTTTTTAAGAAATATTATTCACATTTTGTTTTTTTTAATGGTTTCACCATCGGGCACCCTTACTTCTTTAGGCTTCCTACTTGTTTAATATTTCCAGTCTTTAGCAAACAGCCTTTATTTCCACTTCACAGTAATCAGTGAACATTTCAAAAAGCTAACTCACACATTTATTTTCAGGGCTGTAGTTTTCAAAACCCTGAATAATCGCTGTGCAGCCAAAGTCTGTTAGTTTCAGCTGCATGTCTAATTTAGTTACTAAATTATAATTTAATAATAATAAGTTAATGAAGTTTAATGATGTATTATCAATTTGTTTAAATATTAAAATATTTATTTAATTATTTAATTTTAAGTAATTTGGCCTTTATACAAGTGAAGGTGAAACCTACAAAAAAGTCCAGTTCACTAAAGCAATGCCTCCCTAGAGCTTCTCTAAAGCAAAGAGCCATTAGGTAGGCTATAATACATTAAGGGCACATATCTGAATGGACATGACTGAGAGCTCTTCTCATCTCACTATAGGTTCACTGTTCTCATCCTACGAAATATAAGTGAAATGAACAGCTTCTGAACCTGTGCTCCAGGTGTGCTGAGCCTATGAACTAAAAAATCAAAATAAGGTCTAATCACCCTCTTTGCTACAGTTTGCTGCTCTCCCATATCCTATTTCACAGTTCAGTTAAATCAAACCACCGTGGCTCCAATTTCAACCTAGAGGACTGCAGAAGGATATGTTGAAAAGGCCACAAGCTCTCATGTCTTCTGTTCACACACTTATGCTAGCTGTGGGTCAAGGGATTGCAGAATATGACATAGGACTGATAAAACATATTGTTACCTGTAACCATAAGGCTAGCTCATCATGACATCTGGTGGCAAGCTCATTTAAAATAATTTATGGTCAATATACATAAATAACACTTAGAAATCATAAAACTGTAAAAGCTACAAAAGGAACTGAAGTGCTTCTGTGGCAGCACATCCTCCCAGAGGATTTACCGGACCGCTAATCAGCCCTCTCATGAGAGCCATTGCTCTGCTAAAACTACCAGATCTAAACAACCTGCACACTCCCTTCTAAAATAAACACACTTTCACATGGTTTTATACAACATGAAGTTAAAAGTGTGTTACTTATTTTGTAGACACAAAATTGCAGGTACTATTGCCTATTTTTGTTACACCAAAAATTAGCCATTGCATCTCTGAACAACACAGAATTGTTTTTTGTTCATGACAAAATCAGTATTTTTGAAAGACATGAGAGAATGATTTGGTTACTCACTCAAAGATCCTTTGTTTTGTTTCTGAATGATTCAGGGTAGTTGAACAAATTCTTTGAGTGAATGATTCAATGATTCACTCATAAAGGCAGTCACTTGCCACCACCATAGACTGTAAAAAAAAATGGACGATGAGTCTCCACTTCCTTCCACTTATAGAAAAGTGATTATGGCCGCTGTCATCTTGCGAAAATTACGTAATTTGGAGCCAGAGTCTGCGCTGTAGTGGTCGTGAGCTGGAGCCACCCGTTAGAGGGCGGGGTGTATGACCTATACTGCAGCCAGCCACCAGATGGCAAATTACATTTTTTGGCTTCACTTTTCAGAATGTGTGTGGCACACTTGGTCACCAATTACTCAAAGCCACTGGAAGGCAAGCTTGCAACCTTTAGCCAAAAAAGTGCAATGGCTACTACTAATGCTGCAGCTTTGGCGGTGCAGGAAAGGAGACCAGAGGCCGTTTTGTTTGAATGGATGTCAATGGAGGAGAGGCTTTACTATGCTGAATAAAGAGCTTTTGTGAGGAAACAGCTTATCATTTAATGAATTGACAGCCTATCGGCTAATCTTCAACATAGTTTACACTAAACAATAGTTTTCGATTTTAACTATTTTTAGAGTTTACGCCGAAAAAAAAAGTCGTTTTAGACTTTTTGCGACAGGTGGGATTCAGCTTACGGAACACTCTAAAAAATGTTTGGTTAAATACAACCCAGTGCTGGGTAAAATAGGGACAAACCCAGCAATTGGGTTGTTTTGACCCAGCGCTTGGGTTACTACCCAGAAGGTTGGGTTAAACATTTAATCCAACCTCTGGGTCAAAACAGCCCAATTGCTGGGTTTGTCCCTATTTTACCCAGCACTGGGTTGTATTTAACCCAGCATTAATTAGAGTGTACATTTCATTCATTCCTATGGTATCCGTAAATGGCAATTGAGTGTTGCACAACTCTTGACTGAAATTCAATGACGCCAAGGGTGTAATGTGATTGGTTATCAAGGATCACGTCATCTAAGTTGACCGTTACACTTTCTCCAATGGTAAGTAATGCAGACGCTCGTATCTCCAAATAATAATATCATCTCTGAACTACTGACCTATCGATGTAACCTGAAGAAAGATTATTATTAAAGATACCTTGTGGTTAAAAAAAAGTTTTTAACATAGTTTACATGTCTGTCTGGTGTTTTTCAAATGCTTGAAGACATTTTTTCCCCCAAGTCAGCTTAATTAGTGGTTCCACTTATGTGAACTAACACAACAGTCTATGTGATGACACAGTTATACAGTATATCAACAGCATACTGTTAATTTTCCATTTTAGCATCATACTGTAATTTACATTATTCACTCACCTGAAATTCTAAGGTACCAAAAATGGATTAAACAAACAAAATCTTGTCCCAGGGCATGATGTGGGAAAAAGCTGCTCTTAATGCGGAGAATCTTCAAGGAGGATTAGAGCTGGTGTGGAGGTGCACTTAACAGATAAGAACACAATGTAGTCCCTCTCAGTGGGGAATACTGTACTCATTAAGAATGATAACAGCCAGTTAATCTCATAATTCATTTTTGATCACATGTATAACACTAAGACAACAAGACTAGTTTGACTGAATAAAAAGTAAACGTTATTTTTTATTTTATTTATTTTTTTTACTTTGCGTCAAATTTCTTGTGAAGATCTTACTCTGAAGTACTGTGCAAGGTAATCAGGGGCCTCATTTATAAAATGTGTGTGCGCACAGATTTGATCGTAGAGTGTGTGTACGCTAAAATCCACGGCAACATTCATATTAATAAAAACAGTCTTTGACGTGGAAAAGTACTTACCGCCACGTCAGGGTCTGAGCAGGCGTAGGCTACGCACTTTTCCTTGTGGCAAAGTCGGAGTACACTCTTAAAAATAAAGGTTCTTCACGATGCCATAGAAGAACCTTTTTTTCTAAATGGTTCCATAAAGAACCTTTAACATCTGAAGAACCTTTCTGTTTCACAAAAGGTTCTTTGTGACGAAAGAAGGTTCTTCAGATTACAAAAAGGTAAGAAAGAGATGGTTCTTTAAAGAACCTTTGACTGAATGGTTCTTTGTGGAACCAAAAATGGTTCTTCTATGGCATCGCTTGAAGAACCTTTTGAAGCACCTTTATTTTTAAGAGTGTAGGCTACTGCAGCTATTTGAACATCTAAGCTGCAATAATAATAAAAGCGGTGTACATGCAGGCACCGAATTCATCATAAACAACAAAGATGCAGTGTAAGAGATTAATTGTCGAGTGTAGTCAGATTTTTTATTAATGGGAGTTTTTGCGAAGATTAAACTGACCTTTTTAGTAGCCCAATGTTGAGAGTTCTTTACTCGCTTTCTGTACACAGTTTATTCCATGTTGTTGTTTTTTACTATTTTATTTTACAAGAGAACTTGCGAAGTCTTGATTTACTACTAATGCGTAAAATAGAAAAACAAATGCATAAACGCATCTCCCACTGTTTTGTCTGTGTAGCCTGTAAGAATAGGCCTATGTCGTGCAATAACGGTTTTAATATAGCCTATTATATTCAGTAACATTGTTAACTGTTTTTATTTATAAAATCTGCTGCTTTGCTTCTGTGAAAATGAATAGAGACATCAGCCTTAAACTTTGTTTTTGTCATTTACATCAGTTATATTTGTATAAAATACACTATATATTTTT